CATTTAGTTGGTTTTTAGGTCGTTTTGTCATTTATTGCGTGTTTTGCATTATTTTGAGTGTCTTGGTGTGTTCCGTTTGCTTTCCGGTGTTTTTTGGTTTTGTTTTTGTTTTTTGTGTGCAGGTAAGAAACTCCGAGAGGACAGGTTTTCAAGAAAATATTTGATAGGTTTGCATAGTTAGATAGAGGGGTTCATTAGCGACGCGTCGAAAAAAACGGAACTCAATTCCGAGTTAAAACGAACCCGAACGAACAAAAATCGTAAAGCCGTGCGCAGCAGCGAAAATTTGTTCACCGCGGGCAGCGGAGGAATCCCGCGGCCGCGGGAGCACTACTGCAGCTGAAAGTCGCGGCCGCGGAGGTCGCGACCAGGTTTTTAAAAGCTAAGTTTGGTTCGTTTTTTCGAGTACTTGGCATTGGGACTCGTTCCCAGACCAAAATGAATCCCCCAAACTTGTTTTTTTCCCCTTCTCTTACCCTAAGAACACTATATTAATGTTGGATTTCATCATCACTTGGAGATTTTTATCTTGTGCTTGGATTAAACCTTCAATTTCATCTAAATTGTAAGTTTCTCTTTCAATTGATCTTTGATTATGGAAGCTTGGGTTTGTATGGTTGATTGTTTAATCTTGAATATGAGTAGCTAAATCTTCATGCTAGGGATAGGGGATTAATGTTTTGATCTCAATTATGATTATTGTGCTTGTTGATTATTCAATTCATGTGGGTTGATCTTGACTAGGGTTTTGTGAAATTGTTTTGGAATTTTGAAAATCATTGAAGTAGTGACACTTCAATTTACAACTGTTCATCGATTGGGTTGGATTTGCTCTTGAATGATTTCATGGAATCTATTACTTGATTGATTAAAAACCATTAAGCTATTTAATCGACTTTTGGAATCGAAAGAGGAGGAGTCGATAGACCTAGGCCACATGAAATTGGCTTGTTCGTAATGGTATTGCCAATGTGCTTAAAAGGACTTATTGATTTGTCGTTCATATTAATCCTGTTGTTACGAAGAGTTATTGAGGACAATCTCTGAACGAGTAGTTTATCAAATTCTCTTAACCGAATGATCATTTGCTCGATAATCGTATTTTGAGCCATAACAGATATCCCCGATTCCTTAACTTCTTCATTGAGGTTTATTTCATGTTTTAGGTAAATTTATATTTTATGCATTTTATTTTATTTCTTAGTTGATAATCCACCCAATCTTTATCTTATTAGAGTGTTTAGGATTTATTTTTCCTTTTTGTGTTATCGATACCAAAGCTAAATTCTGAATCGCCTTCCTCGTGAGATCGACCCGGGGAACGACTCTTTCGATTCGATACTCGGTAAAAATAACAATTTGTACACAACAGTTAACAACCCAATCACTACCAAAAAACACAAACACAAAATGGACATGCAACTTCATGGAGTGACGGTGTGTCGTTAACATTGTTCGTTGGCCATTGAGACGTGCTTGAGTAATTGGACCCACGAGTCGTATGTCCACTACTTTACGCAGTGGATTTGCGTAGTACAATATGTTCCAGTACTTTCCCGTGCAAAAAATATTTACCATAATTTTTTTCGTCTTTGCCATGAAACGGTAGATCCGACCACGTCCGCAAGACAAAAAGGTGGATGCGAAACCATGATTTTTGGTCATATTTTTGTTTCTCGAACTCATCCTTTTATATAGCATCCGAAAGTCCACCTTTTCCCTCTTTTTCGTCTTTCAACTTCCGCCAAAATATCTCCGGCAATTATCGCGAATCCAGCTGCCAAATGGACAACCAATCTACTTTTTTTGACCAACGTCGCCCGTTTCCCAAATTTTTTTACCACCTTTCCCGCCTTTTTTATAATATCACATGCATTTACAAGAAATGAATGAGAACCTGCCACACCACTCTCCTCTCTCATGCACAACTGACAAAAAAGCCGTCCCATACTTCAACAGGGGAAAAAGAAAGGTAACGTTATAAATACAATGGACAAAATACAACTTGCTAGTACTGCTTCGATTAGACCCAACAACTGGCACGACAATAATATCCATACACTTTCATGAACTTCTTTTACACCAAATTTTTATCTACATAGTTTTCATCTTTATAAGAATAGTTTTCTAATATTAATTAAAATTGTTTTGTAATTAGAAATAATAAAATGTATCTTCTAAAGATTGTTTTGTAATTAATAACAGTAAAATAGTTTTGTTTAGAAAAATAATATTTATTTCATCTTTATAAGAGTAATAGAATTGTTATTTATTACAAAAAATAAAATTAATCTTTTATAAATTACTTTTTTATATCATCTTTATAGTTATATGATAGTTATAAAATTCTTTCTCTATATAATTTTTTTAAATCACCTTAGATCACCTTTATTATTTTTCATATTTTTTTCTTAACAAATCATACAGTATTATTTATAAATATGTTTTGAATATAATCATACAATCAAATTTTAAAAATCAAAAATTTGTTTTTTTTTCCTTTACAAATATGTTTTAATATATATATGTATATGACTTTTTTGTAATATTTTTTTTTTTAAAATATGTAATTTTATTTCATAATGCAAATTGTATAGAATAATATATTTCAAAATTGGACGTGATAATGCAAATTGTATAGAATAATATCTTTCGAAATTGGACGTAATAATGCAAATTGTATAAAATAATGCATATTGGACGTATACTGCTACTATTATATATACTGCATGTAATGATATAATAACATTCGATATAGAATAATTACGGATGTCCACAACTTCCAACATGCATTTGGAAGTATGGGAGCACATAATGGGAAAAAAAAAAAAAATGAAAACAAGATTTTTTTTAGGTGTAGCAATAATGCAATATTGTTTGACCACTTTTTAGAAGTGACAAGGCATGGACAACAAAATTATATTATTGTTACGTGTAAGAATGGGTTTTGCCATTATTTGCATGATACTTTCACAATTGTATATTTTTATCTGCTATTTGGTGTGTAATTGTACCGTACATATGACCAGGCAGTAATACCTTAATATCCAATTCCTTTTTATCACCAACAACATTTGCCTATATATACCTACATGGTTGGCACTACAAATTCACACCACAACATACATATCATTCTTATTTGTTCTTTTCAATCATGTGGAATTTATCATTGCCACAAATAAAGGAAGAGCATTTCCACTACATACAGGAAGGCTTTTCGAACAAATGGCTTCTAGCAATTGAGGAATCTTTGTGTTCCATCCTTCTACATTACATCCGGTCAGAAGGGATGACCTTTGAGTTTGACGTATTTATGGCATTTGATAGAATATACCAAACTTGCTTGGGTGAAATTGGGCAACATTTGGCTTTAGAAGAACGTTATACCACATTCATGGTCTTATAAGTAAGGTATCGAACCTTCAAATATTTTGTAGATTATCTATTTGTTGTTTTGGATCTACACGCAAATACTATATATATATTGAGGAGGATGATCATGAGGAAGCAATTGAGGTATGTAAATTGTACACAATTCATTTCTTTTATTTTTTATCTCGTTTTGTTGTATAAGTATGTAATAAATAATTGTAAAATTACATTCATAACTTTGTCATTGTCGTACGTCATTTTCTCTCAGCTTTGGCCATTAGCAAAGCATTACTGTAGCAACAATCCTGAGCCTATATGGGAAACCTTGAAGATGATTTTTGAACCCATACGGCTTGAAACATATCTTGGTGAAATCTTAGCAAGTCATGAACGTAACTCTCGCAAACTGGATCAAGTTATTCGCGACTACTGGGCCGAAGAATGACGTATGGCAGCGCGAAGAAAAAGTAGAGGAAATTGATGTCTTTTCATATAAGTTGTGTTTGTACATTACAAGTTATCCATATGTTTGTCGCGTTTTCATATATATTTGGCAAACTATTTGTGGAACAATGTGTAATCTCCAATGTGGTTGGTTGTTGAAACAAATTCCTTTTTATATATTGTTCCTAAAAAATAGTGCTAAAAGAATGGTGCTACATTATATTGGTCCTAAAAGAGTGGTGCTAGAAGTTCAATTCGCCCAACTATTTGTCGTATAGTGTTGTGAGTAAAAATATTATTTACCATATTACTAGAAATTGAATACTACATATATTATGTTTTTTTATAGACAAATACTATCTTTTAGTCCACATTATTATTAATTACGTATATAATACGCATATAACACGAGGTAATGATTATGCAATATGTCTTCAAAGTTTGGAAAACGACATTAATAAATAATAAGTACTACAACATAATTAAATACTATATAACTAACGACGTCGGCCACCTTCAATGGCCCACAAGGCCGCAACAATGGAGTCGCACAGACCACACTATTCACGTACAACAACTTTATAGGCATCTAAAGTTGTCATTAAAGGCCTAGTATGATCATCTTCATCGGGTTCTGGTATATAGTCCGGGTCATGTATTGCCGAAGGTACATTTTTGAACTTTTGGTGATGAAGGATGAAATTATGCAGAACACAACATGCGATAACAATGTCTGTCTGGCATTCGAGCGAGTAGTTTGACATCAAGCCTTTTATAATGGGTAACTTACATTTTAGTATACCAAAACTACGTTCTACCACATTTCGAACAATGGCATGGCGTCTATTAAATAGCTCTCGTGCAGTTTTAGGGGTCTTGTTTGACCGGATCCACTCTGGAAAATGGCACCTATCGCCGCGGTAGGGTGCCATGAATCCCGGCACATTGGCATAGCCCGAGTCAACCACGTAATATTTTTCTGGCATACAAATTAGTTATGGTATAGTATGTTCATATGTTTGTAACGTTAATTTTAATTTGTAAAAAATAAAATATAAAAATCATAGAAAATGAGTGCAATTAGAAACATAACGTAATCACAGACCTTCCGGCGGCCACGGGAATGTGTTTGTGGGGTCCGTCAATGTTTCAGTAAAAATACGCGCATCATTTGCGCTCCCTTCTCACCCTGCGAAAACAAAAGTGAATTTGCAGTCAAAGTCACACGCCACCATCACATTTTGGGCCAGGTAACCTTTTCGACATCTGTATTTGACATGGTCTTCTTTAGGAATATAGATGGTTCCGTCAATGGCACCGATGCAATCCTGCATTATTACAAAATAAATTCATGTCATATACATGAAAATGGTCATTAAAATAAAACTTTGTACAAATATGCGTTCAACCTTAAAGTATAAATATAAATATCGATTATTTCGTATCCAATCTGGGACACGATTAAAATCCGGGGGACGTATGTATTGTGGAGCCATTTTCAGTAAGCCATTGAGCATGATTTGCATATGGTTACTAATTGTCTCGGTAGAACATCGAAATGACTCAGTAGAACGGCGATGCCTTTGGTTTCCTTTTACCGTATACAAGAAAATTGCAACGCTTTCTTGAATGCGGACTTTTTTCTGCCTTTCATCGCCATGGCAACCTGTTTGTTTAATTTCTTTGCACAACAATTTGAAAACATACTTGTTCAGACCCATTGCATCATAGAACCTTCGATCGTGCCCCGTAAGTAGTTCATTAACCCTGTCGGCCCCAGTGTACGTCGACTGCCGGTAGAGGACTGTTGGCATGGGCGGGTTATATTGAAACGTTGCATAAACAAGCATCAATTGTTGGCATTGTAACTCAAGTATATTATTGAAATGCTACAAACGGGATACACGGGATGGCTAAACATCATTGTTAACACCTTCATCCATGTGGTCATTAGCTTCTTCGGAGTCTTCGTGTTCGGCATCATGGTAATCATCATTGGCGTTGGACATCCTACAAATTAAAATTGGTACGACCATATTTTTTCTAAATAACCAATCACATTGAAATTATAAAACAAAGCAACATGAACTACCACCAAATTAGAAAAAGAGTTCAGTCAAATAAAGAAAAAACAAAGGTCAAACAAATAAAGTCACACAGCAACCAAATACCAAATAAGAGAAATCCAAATGCAGCAGAGAAGGAAAAAGAAACACATTAAGTACTTGCAAACAACAACATCCCTAAAATGCCCCATTGTCCATCCACATGTCTAGTAGCGCACGTTTGTTTTCTTCCATTTAGAGCCCAAGAAACGTGTACAAGCTCATCGGGTCTCGAAACGTCTTCCAAGCTACCTTCCTCACTGGCACAGGGACAGTAGACATGGACTCCAACTCTCTCAAAGCTTGTTGGAGGCTCACTTGATCTGCTTCCGGCCGAGCGTGTTGTTGGATAATGCGGCTTGTTTCAGTTATAGAATTCATGGCCGTGTCGAAGGTGGAATTGCCCCATTTATGCCGACGGATCGCCCGATTACCCTCTGGGGAGTTCATTGGCTCATCACTCAACTTATCAGGGAACAAGTAACTGGGACCTATAGTCGACTTCATTCTCCGCCCCCTGCACATTCCCTCAGGTGTTTGGGTAGATTCCCGTGCTCCGCTGCCAGTTGCAGTTGTCCCGTGGAAAATAGTGGTAAGCTCGCGATAGTGCAGTCAAACTTTTTTCTTCATCTCCCTGTCCTTTGGATGACCCAATTTTTGGACAAAAAATTATTTCAGCAATAAAACAGAATGCTCCGAAATATTATTGGTCTAAAAGAACCACTTCAATAGAACATATCAACCACCTCAAGTTCCTTTAATACGAGCATCAATGTAGCTTATATAATTTTATACCATATTCAAGATAATGTTTGTCTTCAAAATTATAAAGTAACCTCAGTAGAAGTAACAGAAAATACACAACTGTATACCAAATCCACATGAAAGAAGGACACTGACAAGAGATGAAACTTTCATCAACAATGCAAGTAGTATATACAAAAAGATCATATAAAAAGAGGAAACATACTATATACTTATCAAAATTAAACCATTTTAGTAACCGTGATCCACCTGGCCCAAAAATCCTCACCGCCCGTGATCTTCCCTATGGCAGATTCCCAACCAAACCCAGTTTCTGCAGTAAGCATTGTGTGGAACCGACACCACTGCACTTTCAAATGGTCATGCTTACTCGTGATTTGTGTTATCTCATACGCCTGTTCTGGACCGCACGCGCTGTTCAGTTGTTTCTGGATTTCCATCCAATGATATGTTTTGAATTTTTGGCATATGCAATTGCCCAGGATAATTTGGTCCAGCATCAATGATATTAGCCGATATTCATTCTCTGGAGACCACTTTGCTTCTCCTTGTTTCGATTTTGAGCTCCCAGCCTCAATGGAAGTTGACATCTACAGTTTTGACCGTCATACAACTCCCAGATTGTGTTGTTTATTTGAAGACATAAATATAACATGACCACCATTGGTGTACAAATCAGAAATAACCAAATATGACAACAATAGGGCTCGCTTATGACCAAGGAAATCACAAAAAAAATTGGGATGAAGAGTGAACAACTACAAGTCAATAAAGGAGAACAAGGAAACAAGGGCCTGTAGTTTTTATTTTATTTTTTTTTTCAAAATAATTGTTCTCATTCCCTCAACAGACACGCAGATGAACTTTGAAAATAATAGTATCGAAAGCGGAAAAAAAACTTATAACATATAAATGCACAAATCGACTTGCAAAACTGAGAGTCAACAATAAAAGGATTTTATGAGAGAAGATACAAATCTGTAATTACGCATACAAAATGAAATCCCCAATTTATTTATGGTTCAACCGAAAAAACCCAGCAAATCACATAAACAACTACTTGTTTTTTTGTGTAAATGGGTCAGCAATCCGAATATGTATCTCAATAAGAGCAACACTTGCGATAGGAATCATAAAAAGCAACTAACCTTCGTTCTATGTTTCCTTTTATTCTCACGCGAGGTCACCAACACGTTGCCGGTGCTTTCTGTATGCGGATCTGTCCTTTCCAGTGGATCTTCCGGCGAACGAAGAGGTGGACTGACTTCCGGCTGGGAGGTGAAATGGTTGGAGCTCATTGTTTTCGCTAACCCAAGAGAGGTAATTTATGGACGAAGGTTATATTCTCACCCTCAAGCCTTTCGTCAATTTCAATTTCAATTGAAAGATAGATAGTCAGTATAGTTCAGTAATGGAGGGACAGAAGGAAGGTGGGGTGGGACCCGCATAATAATATTAAGAGTGAAATATTCTGTAAACAAACAACCCATATCTCAATTTTATGGATTAATTCAATTTGAGTAAATTAATCCATACACAAGCGCGCCCTTAGGGCCTGCTTGTTTATGGATTAATTCATCGAGAAATGTGAGTTATTTGTATTTGAGTTAATTGAGTGTAATTGCACTTGAAACAAATTAATCCACCTACTGTACCGTGGGCCCAAGTGTCCTTTGTAAGTGGACATTCTCCACTAGAATAACCTGTGCGCCTCTACTCTCTAATTATATAATAATATTTTGTTTTGTTTAAAAAGATAACTACGATTTTGCAATTGGACCACATCAAATCTCAAAACAGAATTAAAGAAAATAGACATCCACAAATTATATTCACATGAGCAAAGGAAAAAAGCAGCAACGAAACAAAAATGCATCATTCATAATAAAATCATTGTTTGCGGTTCAAAAGAAAACAGTGCCAGATTACCAAAATCACTCTCCATTAACCATCAAAAATACAAATCACGTAACGACAATCTCAAATAGAAGATTTTAATATTCATTACATCCTGATGAATTTGATAAGTGCTACAATAGTTAACAACCCAATCACTACCAAAAAAACACATAAACAAAATGGACATGCAACTTCAAGGAGTGACGGTGTGTCGTTAACATTGTTCGTTGGCCATTGAGACGTGCTTGAGTAATTAGACCCACGAGTCGTATGTCCACTACTTTACGCAGTGGATTGTGCAGTACAATATGTTCCAGCACTTTCCCGCGCAGAAAAAGAGTTGTTAGTCTCGGTATCCCAACGAAAATTATCGGGGTGTTTCAGTCCTTTTGGACACCCCAAAAAAATACTTACCATAATTTTTTTCCGTCTTTGCCATGAAATGGTACATCCGACCACGTCCGCAAGAACAAAAAGGTGGCTGCGAAACCATGATTTTTGGTCATATTTTTGTTTCTCGAACTCATCCTTTTATATAGCATCCGAAAGTCAACCGTAAAAGGATTTTATGAGAGAAGATACAGATCTGTAATTACGCATACAAAATAAAATCCCCAAATTTTTTAGGGTTCAACTGAAAAAAACCAGTAAATCACAAACAACTACTTGTTTTTATGTAAATGGCGTCAGCAATCCGAATATGTATCTCAATAAGAGGAACACTTGCGATAGAAATCATAAAAAGCAACTAATCTTCGTTCTCCACTTCCTTTTCTTCTCAGGCGAGGTCACCGATACGCTGCCGGTGCTTTCTGTATGCAGATCTGTCCTCTCCAGTGGATCTTCCGGCGAATGAACAGGTGGACTGACTTCCGGCTGGGAGGTGAAATGGTTGGAGCTCATTGTTTCCGCTAACCCAAGAGAGGTAATTTATGGACGAAGGCTTTATTCTCTCTCTCTCTCTCTCTCTCTCTCTCTCTCTCTCTCTCTCTCTCTCTCTCTCTCTCTCTCTCGAGCCTTTCGTCAATTTCAGTTTCAATTGAAAGACAGATAGTCAGTACAGTTCAATAATGGGGGAACAGAAGGAAGGTGGAGTAGGACCCGCATAATAATATCAAGAGTTAAATATTCTGTAAACAAACAACCCTTATCTCAATTTTATGGATTAATTCAATTTGAGTAAATTAATCCATACACAAGCGCGCCCTTAGGGCCTGCTTGTTTATGAATTAATTCATCCAAAAATGTGAGTTATTTGTATTCGAGTTACTAACAAAAACTCATACACATATATATACACATATAGATATAAATTTGGGGCCCCAAAGATTTTGGGGCCTATGGCCAATGCCCACTTTGACTTTTTTTCAGGGCCGGCTCTGGTAGTTTGCTGCAGAGGGATTGAAGTCTTAGTATATGTCATGTGCATAGGGAGGCTAATTTCGCAGCTGATCATTTGGCTAGTTTGGCGTTCTCTTCTCCGATCGTTTTGCAGCATCTCTCTTCACCGCCCGTTGGAAAGGATTCCTGGCTTGACTACGATATTATGGGGTTGTCTTACCCCCGCTAGGTTCCAGCTTAAATCATCCACTTTTAGGCCGTCGACCTCTTTTATTGTACCCAAAAAAAAATTAAATCTAGTGGATAAACATATTGATATGGACGAAAGAAATCCATATTAATCCATACAACACCACATGTATATGTAGTGTATGCTTTAGCGTGCGATTTTGATAGTAAATATTTTTGTAAAACATATTTTGAACAGTTTATTTTTATACGAAATAAACAATTATTATAAAAGATTTTTCAGCGGCTTTTCATTGTCACACTTATTGCAAATTATAAGATCAAATCCAGAACAACTCAATATAAGTTACTTTTGACTAATATATAAGAGATAGTATACACGAAAAATATCAGAATATACCATATCTACTTATTGAAATATCTAAAACATTTAAGATATTCAAATATTAAATCAAAATTTGTCTTGCATATCTAAGTGATCTAAAAGCGGGATATTTCAAACTTAAATATATTAACTATTTTTCATATGGAAAAACTAGAGCTATCAAAAAAATATTTGTTTGCTTTTCGAAAAATTCGAATTTTGTCTTCCTTCAAACATTTGATTTTATTGTGAGTTATCATGCGATCGGTTTATAGCTTGCAACAAAGCACACATACATAGAAAATCTTTCATCTCGTAAGTTTTCATTTATTTTTACATTTGATTTTTTTTTTTACCATAGTTTAATATAAATTTATCATTATTATATATTTTATATGTTATGCAAAACTCATAATTAATCATATGTCTAAGTAATTTCAGAAGACATATAATTAAATTTACATATTTGATTCATCGATTTTTTTTAGAAAAACACATGTTTCGCAATTATGTTCACGTACTCGGACAAAAAATGGTTTGAATATTTCGTTCATCACCAAATAATGTTTAAAATTAAGAGATTCTTTGGTACATTGAAAAAAAATCTAGAAAAATTCAATAAAAAATATGTTATTTCATCCACAAATATCAACACTTTTTTTAATATAAAAAGAGTACTTAACCTTGATGTAGTTTCTGAAGTCGGTTTCAGGTTTCCCTCGAGACTACTGATCCCCGATCTATGCATTTATGTTCCTGTTTCCCTGTTACCTTTTATGAATCAGGTTTTTTTCGAGTCCCTTGACCCCCGATCATCTTCGATCTACCCTTCATCAGTCCCCGTGATGCTCATGCGTAGAAATATAAATTTATTTTTTATAGAACTTCTTATAGACAATTGACTACTCCAAAATCATGTAGCATGAATCAGCCATTATAATCTAACTCATCTAGCATGAAACAACACTATGGTTAGCAAAGCTTTTTAAGAAAATGATTTCCAAAATTTTCTTATGATTATGGTAGAAACAGAAACCTCTCATGTCATAAAAATACTTCAAATCCAAATCACGTTTCACTATACCATCCTCAATGAAAAAAGAAAAGAAACTTAGCTTCACTCACACTCTCATAGAACAAAACACAAGAGGTACTTCTCTTGGACAATAGAATACTTTCCGAACTCAGAAATATCAAGTTCCCCTCTGATCCAATTTGTGTTCATATACTCAATCTAAATAATTGAATTTGAACTCAAAGCACAATCACCGGAAGAAAGTTTAGACATACCTATTGTGGAGTGCAAGTCTGAATCGTCAATGGAAGTAACTTCATTGACGACCAAATCATGATGTCCTCACTCGTGTCAAGAGATTTTGTGTCATCATATACGAGAGTGCTACCCATCTATTTGAAGGAGGTAAACTTATCTACTATAACTCAAAACTTGCCTTCTAATCGGATATTCTCTCGAATATTTCTCGTCGATATAGAACAATATATGACAAGCAGAATTTGAGATGAATCCAAGTCAAGAAAAGAAACTACGGTAGAGTCAAATTTTGTAAGTGTAGCTTGAAGAACAAATGGAATAGGTATACTTCTCCAACTCTGAAACTCCTCGACGATCAACACAAGGCTCGTAAGTGTCTGATGTGCTTGTCCATACCCATTGGTGACGTTCGAAAGGTACAATCCTTGTTGAAAATGGTGACCCTCGATGTACTAGGTCGACCAAACCGATTAGTGCTCGTATGAAGGAGAGGATAGGACATAGTTTCTTTTTTTTTTCTTTTTTCTTTTTTCTTTTCAGAAAAGAGAGCCATTGAATAAAATTATGTATCATTCCCTCATTTGTAAAACATGGATCCATCACTTTAGACATATGTTCATACAATTGTCAAATATTTGATTCATTTTCGTAGAAATATAGTATATGTGTGTGTGAGTGTGTGTGTGTGTGTTGATAACTATGAGTTCTAAACCCAGTCCATGTATTCATTCTCCAAAAAACATGCTCTATTTAGAAAATGGAGCATCGAATGACATTTTTGTAAATACTTTTAGGACACTTCCAATCTCAAGATTAAAGAACCAATCTCATCTCAAGATTTGAAGTGCAGGGATTGGTTCAAATAAAAACTAGTCCTAATGTGAGAACCGTATTTGATACTATTTTACATGAAACTATCATTCTCACAAATGTTAATATAAATTATCTCTCTCTTTTTAATAGAATACATTTTGGTGAAAGATAGCACTAAAACAAAATAAATTATTGCACTGCGTATAGTGGTTCTTATGCTAAGACTTGGTTCTCAGTTGAACCACATAATATATATATATATATATATATATATATATATATAATTGTTAGTCGCATCTTCATTTGAAAAATCTTTATATTCATCATTGCATATGCGCGCGCGCACACACACACGCATATATGCATAGATACAATAATAATTTAAATATACATATGTGTGTGTGTGTGTGTGTGTTGACACGCGTCATATTTACTTGTAAATTGAATGTGATATGTTCATATTACGATAAGCTGGTTTAAGTAATAGTTACTCGACCAGATGGTGAGTCGATGAGCCTGCATGACAATTTAAGCCAGCACATCTCCGCTCGAGCCTCTATAATACTAAGGCAGAAGAAGTCGATATTCGCAGGTCGACTCCCTGTACTGCCACTATAGGGAAAGTCAACACCCAAAAGCCAATTTCTTTGACCATCTATATCTAGGACCACTAACCCAAAGTTGACATCTAGTAAGAAGATGAGAGTCGAGGCCGACTGATTCAAATCAACTCCCGTTAAGAAGACGAGGATAATTCAAGAACCAATGGTAGAGCCTCCTAACATATTCCTGTATGTGAACCCCAAGTAGACCCCTTGCCACTCGAGGTCGACTTCTTACACCTCGAGACCCGTGGTATATGACGACTATAGTACTTCGGGATACTTGAGCTAATTCACTAGATAAGGATGAATCTTCATTGGATAAGATGGAATCTCAAGCTGACTCGGATCTGACTGAGAAGTGATTAGGATTCAAATAGACCGGACCACTAGGCCGGTCGACCAAGGGCATTTTGGGTACTTCAAAGCAGGTATTTTCTTCTATAAAAAGGGGCTGAGGTAACTCCAAACCCTAACTTCTACAGTCTTTATCCATTTTCTCCATATTATGTTGTTGTTGCTCCCTCTGAGCAGAGCACTTCTCTCTCTCTCTCTCTCTCTCTCTCTCTCTCTCTCTCTCTCTCTCTCTCTCTCTCTCTCTCTCTCTCCCTCTCTCTCTGATACTGACTTGAACGTCGGAGGCTCTACACAGAAACACTTCTAGCGTTGAGTTCTTGCAGTTGTTTGATGCGATTTGGAGGCGGTTCGAACAGATTGGAGTTCTCTTAATCGGTTCACTCCAGGTCTAGGAGGACCCATCAGAATATATAAATCATATATTGATATATTTATTGTTATCAAAATAATGAACAAACAAGACATGTTGGATAGTTTTTTCCTTTTTAATCGAGACGACATAATATATTTCTCAGAAAAGGAGTACACAGTTTGAAGGCTAACTAGCCCAAATGCATAAAGCATATAAACGGTAAGCAACACCTACAACCACAAAGGAGCAAGGACTTAACCCCGGCTATGGCAGAGGCAAATAACCCGAAGGATTGACTCCTAATCTCCACCTGTAAATGATCCCAACCAGGATACTTCAGGCTGGCAAAAAAGACTAATCACTAACCCACACGAGGGTCCTAGTTAATTTTCAAAACTCTACAGGGAGGATTAAACCACACCAAACACTACATCTAAAATTAACCAACTAAACTAAAGATAGCTAAAAAAACAACACCATTAAAATGCACAAGAAGTAAATTCAGTCCAGTCTTTTAGAGCTATAGTGATTGTGTCTACTTCTAATCTCCAAATGCTAAAAAACACCCAAAGATTTCGGGTTTTATACATCCATCATATTATGTAAGAGGTGCGCTGCAGCCTAGCTTCAGAAATTGGAGAGTTATTGATAGAGCAAACCTTGGGCCACCAATGCTTGAAGCATCTAGTTTTCTCTTGAATTCTTTCCCAGGATATAGGAGAGAGCTTCCAGATGAGCTTAACTCTCTTACACTGGAAGAAAATATGCTCTTAAGTCTCTAAGTCCTCCGCACAAACCTTGTGAATCTAATTCACTGTCATTCTTGTTTTCATGAGGTTACAGTTCACATGGATGATATGATTCAGTCATTTCCTATAAAAGTGCTTGATTGTGCTTTAATTTTCAACCCCGAGCTCCCCATCATAGCATTTTTAGAGATTTTCTGATCTCTACTGAATTCTGGGAAGTCCATGTTCAGTCATTTCTCCTCAATCAGTTTCTTGTAAGTGAAAGCCACTGTGAACCTTCCATTGAAGCTCCAATCCCATGCCAATCTATCTTTCATCTGAGAATCCAGCCCATTTATGCTCAAAATGGCTTTGGCCTCTAGATATGAAAAGCATTCCTCTATAAGTCTCATGTTCCATCTCTTGCCAGAATTTTCTATGAGCGCATGCACCCATAACAAGTTAGAAGCTGATGAATTCCTTTTTACTAGCATGTTTCCTAGAATGTTTGAACTAAGGATGATCTCATATTTTAACTGATTTGCCGTCCTTGATGGTGCGCCTCAATCCATTCTGAAAGGTGTCCATTTGCTGCACTCATCTGACCCATGACAAAGAGTTTGTTACTCTTCTTATGAGTTGTAAAGAAGTTATTTTTTGAGAAATACCAGACTTTACGTGTTGTACTAGCCAGAAGATCAAATTTGGTAAGGAGCATCGTAGATTTTAATTTTTAATTTGAATTGTAATAAATAAAAAAAAAAAGATTAATCTAAATTTATAATTTTATAAAGCTCGTGATTTTCTCTGCAATTAAATAATTACACGTTGGCAAATTTTGCCACGTAAGATGGCACATCATCACCCCAAGTGGATGATTCATTTTGCAACAAAAATGCTAAAATTATTCTTATTGCAATCTCAATAAAGTTTGGTTTTGAAAACCCAGAAACTGAAAAATTCGATTGAAGTAAATCTGAAGGCAAACAACAGATGGGACAAATGACAAACAAGAAAGGTAAAAAGGAAGTAAAAGAAGAAATAAAAAATGAAGAAGATAATGAAGAAGAAAATGAAGAAGAAGAAGAAGAAGAAGAAGAGGAAGAAGAAGAGGAGCAGGAGCAAGATGGAGTTTCAGTGCATTCTCCTTGCAAAATCAACTCTTCCTCCTCACTCCGCAAGGTACAATTTTTATTTATTTATTTATTTATTTATTTATTTATTTGCTTATTTAAAATATCACAAGATTTAATTTTTAAGCTTTTGGTTCTTGATTGTGTGTGATTGAGGGTTGAATTTCAGGAGAAATCAGAGGTTGAATTGGAATTGAGACTGCTTGAAGCTCTTGAAATATACCCCCCTTCCAAATTACGAGGTTTGCTTTTTATTTATTTATTTATTTTTTTTTTTTTTGAACTGTAAATTGTTTGTCCTGATTCATTTTGCTTGTTCCCTTGATGTGATTTTTATTAATTTGCAGCTACAACTTGCATAATTCCTTTATCTCCGTCGATAGATTCGAAATTTTCCGGGAAGTTTGATTTGAACAGGTTTAATCCAATGTCATCAGAATTATTAACATATTTTTCCAAGAAGAAAATGAGTGCAAACCTTCACAATCCTTTATCTTTGTGAACCCATTTGATGGAATTCACGGTTGAAGCTTAATGATATACGGAACAAATATTTGTCGAACGATAATCCTCAGAATTAGAACTGAGCTTTGCTGGTGCTTCTTGTTTAACAGTTCAGTGATGGATTGATGTACTTGTTGTTGATCACAGGCGTACACCGTCACTTTGTGCTTTATGGTCTGACTGAATACATGCGCAAAAGGTCCCCTTCCCTTCGCCTTTTTGCTTCTGTGTTTTCAGTGATTGTGTCTTGAGATGATTGTTTTTGCCTGTTTTTGTGAAATTGTTCTTTTTCTTGTCTCCATGCAGTTTCAACCGCCCGTTTACTGCAGAGGATGTTCTCAAGTTGCTTGAGCGATTTTTCAACCTTGAAATGGTGGTATGACTTGTCAACTTCGGTCTAAGTTGTAATTTCTAGAATAATTATCTGCTAAGCTTGGCACATTAATGTGAGCAAATAAAAGTTAGCTACATATTAGGATTAGCATGTATGTATATATATGCGCGCGTGTGTGTGTTTGTAGGGTGTTCAGGCTGGTTTGCCCGAGCTATCACCCGTTGATGGATAAGTCGAAATGGGTTGTTATATGCAGGAGCAAAGTAGATTATATAATAAAAGCTTTATCTTTGGGGTAATTTTGAGGCTTCCTCATTTAGTGGTCCAATCCAGTGCACGTTTGTCTTCCCAGTCATCAACCTTTTACAATTATTCTCCACATTCCGTCAGTTTTTAAGGTTTGCCTTATAGATATCCTAGGGTCAACCATTATTCGGTTGTCTCAATTAGAGAAATATGTTGGCTCCGCCAAAAAATTTATAAAATTTTGCTTTTTTCTTTGATGACAAATTGGCAATTTCAAGATTTTGCCTCATCACTGGTCCGTTTATTTGCTATGGACACTGAAAGAAATATTTTTTTTCCTCTGTGTGTGTCTTTGTTTTGGTGGATCTCAGAAGCCAGATGATGAAGATGCAGAGTTTCTGACTCACGAGGAAGACTTTCGCCTGCCACAGAGTTTTTTGCCTGAGGAAGAAAGCTGAAATATCAATCATCTCAAAGAGTAAAAAGTTGTCGTGCAGTGGAGTTCTTTTGATGTATTGATTCTGCTGTAATGATTGTGGCTGCACAGCCATCTTACTTTGATGTTAGTGTTTGAAAAGCAACGGTCTTTAAGATTTTAGCTCGGCACATATCACAATGCTTGATGCATTTGGCTCCATGCCCAGTAGATATTTTGTAATCTCTGCTTTCTATTATTTGTTCCTAGTGTTTCTTTATTTTACTGGAGTTGGAGTTCGAATCTGATGTTGGTTTTCTATCTGATTTGAGTAATTTACTGGAGTCAGAAACAAGAACATGTTGTGTTACAATAGACCAAACTAAAGCTCAAGATTCTCAACAATGTGTTTAACGGTCTTCGATTATCAGTAATTATTCATGGAGCATTGCATTCATCGTTCATTTCTTGAACTTGACCTTTTTCATTTGACCACACATCTTGCATGACATGGTGAAATTTTGATCCTTTGCTCGACTAATAAAAAATCGTTAAACATCAACTCAAGTGAAGCCGAATACAATTATAATTGTCACAATAACATTATTTTTTTCTGTATAAAAAAAACAAAGAATTTCTTCAGAAGCAAAATGTTTTGAGCTGGTGGGGAAGACGGGTGGAGAAATTAAAAAAAAAAAAAAAAAATGGACACAAGAAATTCAAAGCAGGTCTAACTTGAAAACATTCTTCTTATCATTCTATGATAAAAATTGATCGAACAACCATGAACATTCTTCATTTGCCAAATCTGGAGTAGTGAGATATTTCGTGACGACACTTTCTCATCACTTTCTTTGCTTGATTAACGCTTTCGCCAAGACATTAGTTCTGCAGAAACAAACACATTCTAAGTATCCTAATAATGAGGGATTCATAAGCAAACGCCCCTTCTTGAGAAAGCAAATAGACAGAGAGAATGAAAAGTGATGGTTTTTTTCCCAGTAAATAGACAGGGATTCATAAGCAAACGCCCCTTCATTGAAAAGAGATGGTTTTTTTCCCAGTAATTAGGGTAATTCTTGTATTTAACTCGAGCTTTCGAATACGTTAACCAAATATAGCTTTTACCTCAGGTTGTGCCGGTTTTGATTCCTCGGCCTTGATGCCCTCCTCACCTGTTTCATGGAAAAATGCATTATATAGCTATTTGAGTGAGGTGAAACTAGAAAAAAAAAATAGCTTTTACGGGGAAAACAACAGATGAAGTTTGTTAGATTATATTAAGTTTGAGGGTCTAGATTTCAGAATCACATAGCAATAGAATCTGTCAGACATCCCGAGCATCTATATTTGTTTTTCCAAAAAAAAAAAAAAAAAAAAAA